CTTTGTAGAGCATATGTATAATTCTAATTAATGCTTTTTGTGTCCTTATCCAGAATTTCTTTTAAAAACAAAGAGAGATTTCTGAAGTCCTCTTCAGAGAATGCACAATTCTGTATTCTTGTAAACACACCACAAGCCACTTTCTGTTCCTTCCTAATTTAATTATAGACATTTTGTGATCATACAACAGTATGCCTGCAGGCTTATTAGATTTTGATTACTTTTGTAAGAGCCTGAATATTATAAGTAGAGAAAGATTTAGTAAATGCTGCATATTTAACATCTCATAAGGAGACCCTTTTCATTCAAGTCTGTATCTGTTGTTGTTGTTGTTGCCGTTGTTGTTGTTGTGTGCCTTCAAAGTGTTTCGGGTTTATGGCAACCCTAAAGTGAACCTATCATGGGGTTTTCTTGGCAATACTTCATTGGGTAAGTGGGCTTATTAACAAAAGACGATCCTCATAATGTACAGTAGCAGCAGTGTGATCCAGCATCAGTAGCCAAAAGTGATACAAATAACAAAAATGCACAGACCAATGTTATCTCTTCCATAGGAGTCTTTTCTTTATAGCAAAATAATATGATTGCGCTATTTACAAGAAGAAGGTTTCCATAACACAAATAAAGTTCTTTACGCTTCCTTCTTTGCTTCCACGCTGGACTTCTTTCTCATACAGATAAACAGCTTCACTCTCACAGAGCCTCTTCTCACTCAGAAGTTACACAGGAGCTGCACACAGTAGCTTTTTACACACACCAGCCTTCACATTGAAGCTTCACACACAATGGTCCTCAACCTAGGGCGTCTTCTCACACCAGGCCTCTCACACACTGAGGCCTACTAACTCTGAGGCGTTCTCATACAGAGGCATACTAACACACTGAGGCTCTTCTCCCACAGAGGCCACTCACAAACTGAGGGCTACTAAGCTACAGGGACACCTGCTTATATTGAACTGCAGCTTTTGCTGAGTTATTGCATCCATTTAACCATGTAATTACATTTTTGTAATAAAAATACATAGTTAATATTTAATATTTCTGACAGACGTGTCCAGATAATGTTTACTTTTTCTGAGGCTGGGAGAATGGGACTTGCCTAACCTTCACTCATCAGGGTTTGAACCCAGATCTCCACAGTGTGGTCCATTGCTCAAACCGTTACTGAATGCTGGCTTTTCAGTGTATACTAGATGTGCTAGGAAATCATAGATAAAAGATGCCTGCATATCTTCAACGCCAATTATGAATCTTGGGTATTTACATGCAGCTCCTTTTCTCATATTTATCAAGAAGTTATACCCTGAAAAGCTTGGTGCAACTCACAAGTAGCTATAAGCGCAGTTGTTCAAATAAAATAGACTGCTTGAAGCATTTTGAATTCTGACTGATTTCCTTTGGAACCAAGCTTTCTTCTATTTTGCAATCTGAATAATGTAGTCTCATGAGAAGATTTTAAAAAGCACACAAAGAAATTTGCCTAAGCTTGGACTGGGAATTACACTGCACTACATCAGAAAAGCTCAGGGATGGAAGAGTCCCCTTGGTTTCAAAGTTCAGGAGCTGCTTGGACTTTCAATCTTTAGGGTAGTTGAGGAATATACAGTTTTCTTTGAGCTTTAAAAATCAACATCTTAAAGAGTCTTTAGGACTGGAACAAAAAACAGCAAAATAATTTTGGGGTTTTTTTTTAAAGTTGCTTAGTTGATCAGCAAACTATTTCCCATAATTAGACATGCAGTTTGGAGAGAAAAAAATAAAAGTTTTAAAAAATGATTCTACTTCAGCAGAAAACGTTTTGCTTTTTGAAGCCTCATTGCCAGAAGACAATGCCTTATTTGTGGAGAAGATCCTTCACAGTACATTAGTCATTCATTTTTTGATATGGGAATAGCACCTAGTTAAAATAACTTGTGATATGCTACTTTTAATTTAGCATGACAGAGATTGCTGAGTTCAATTTTTTGGTGTATGATATGTAGTTGCATATGTAAGATTGCCCAAAAGGCATCCTGTGTGAAATATAGTTTGAAGGTATTTTAAAATATCAAAAATGTTGCTGTCTCATTGAAAGATGATTCTGTTAAACACATTAATTAATTTAGGTTGCAATCCTCTGATCCTGACACAGCATCAGGGAGGCTATAAAAAGGAGCAAAACCTCCTTTGCAATAATTGATTATAATCCTTCCTTGAAAGGCAAGATTCAGTCTTGGAAAGTCCTGTTCAGTCAGAACTCCATCTCAGACAGAAAGGAAAGGTACACGTTAGGTGGGTATTCTTGGACCTACTGGATTCACAACTTCCCCAGTCTCCAAAGATATTCACAGCATGGAGTTACAGTGTTTTGAATTGAAAAACCAGAGCCTAGAAGATGAACCAGAGCCTATCTTCCAACTCTTTGATTCTATGATTCTATGAAACAGATTGACAGACTGAAACCACCAAGATCAGAACACTCAGTCAGTGGTGTCTCTTTCTCTTACATATTCAGCCATAAATCCGATTACATTTTGATGAACCTGATGCATGTTTTTATTGAGGATTTACTGACTTATGTTTTTATTGATATTGTTATGATTTTATTGATGTTAATGTTTTAAATTGTATTTGTATTTGTGGCATTGAATTTTGCCTTGTAAACTGCCTGGAGTTGCCGCAAGGCTGAGAGGCTGAGAGGGACGGTATACAAATAAAGTAAATAAATAAAATAAATAAATAATGCACCTTGCCTCCAAAACCATTCATTGAACTTTGTGCATATTATAGGGCCATGATGGTGAATCTATGACATGTGTTTCAGCACTGACACGCATGGCTATTTTTGATGACACATGGCCACATGCGGTCGCATACAGAGAAGTACACCTTATAAGAGCCAATCTAATTCCATCCTTAAATTTGTAAAAGGCTCTAAACATTTAACATCTGCATGTTTGAGCATTGTTCACTCCATAACTCAGCATGGAATATACATTTTTCTTATTTAAACTATAAATATTGCAAAATTATGAGGGTTTTTTCTCGAAGTTGACACCCCACCCAAGTTATGCTCAGGTTTTTGGCAAATTTTGACACACCAAGCTCAAAAGGTTGCCCATCACTGTTATAGGGCATAAAGAGTTCTAGTACTGTGGAAGCTGCTTTAAACAATACGAGACATTGTGGATCCTTGAATGCCCAACTACCTTTTCCTGTATCAGATCAGATAATGAACCATTCAAGCCTCTTTAAACAGCATATTTCTTCTTGAAATTTGCTATTTTTTGAATATTAGCTTTTATCTGCAATTCAGTGGATTGTTTCTAGGGAGACTGAATATACTATATTGATCTTGAGAAGAATAGATTATCAATTAATGCCGCTCCTAAGATATTCCTACTTCGTAAAGTTTGTTACTAATTACTAGTCTTGTACATTTCTATGGAATCACTATCCATTTCTGTTTGTTTCATTTGTTAGGCCCAGTGTATGTTTTTGAGCACCTCTCCCGAAAATTTTTGGACCATTGGCCAACATGGGCAACCTTCCTAGACTCTCCTTCTCCTCGGTTTTAGGACTAGAGTAGTGAAAATTACCACACATGGTGGGCACATCTACCACTCTTAGCTCACCAAGTTTTATAACGTTTGGGTCATCCCCCGATTTGTCAGGATTTTTTTCTTTCTACAAATAAAGTCTTTTTTAAAACATTTCCTCTTCCCCCTGCTGGCTCTGTCTTCTAACTTCTCTAGGAGCACCAGGAGGAGGGAAGGCACCATTTTTTCCCTTCCAAATGATGCACCCACACACTCACCACACACACAGCCCAGTGCCCAGCCCCACTCACTTATTCTTTAACTGGCAGCAATGGGGTGGGGATTCCCCTCCCTTTCCCATCATTTCTGGCAATGACATGGTTTGTCTTGGAGAACTGCCACCTTGGGCCCGTGCTTGCCGCAGCTGTGCTGTGTGCCCTTCTCCTTCTCCTCTGTCTCTCATGCAAGGAAAGCACCTCCAATACCTCTCCTCTATCTCCTTCACACTTCTTACCCTCTCCTCCTTCCTCCTCTTTGGTTCTTGGAGCTGCCACTGGTGGCTTGGGTCATTGCTGCTGCTGCTGCCTGGCTTTAGTCTAGAGTAAGAGGTGTAAAGGAGGAAGGGGCTGGAGGTGCCTTCCTTGCATGAGAGATGGAGGCAACAGCAGCAAGCAATGAACCAAGGCGGTGCCAGGGCAGCTCCAGGAGCCAAGGAGGAGAGAGAAGGAGTCACACATGCACTATCCAAGGCATTTTAAGGAGGCTTCCCACATGGAGATAAGGACGAATGATGACCTCCTAGAAGAGGAGAGTAAATTAGGGTTTTATTTTTGTTTGCTGCGGGGTTAATAAAAAGGATTAAACTGTGCTCACGAAAAGAAGGTGCACAAATGGTTACCATTCAAACTTTCATTTCATTTCATGGTTATTTTCATCCCGGAGGGGGGTTTATTGTATCATGCCATCCAAATGAAAGAAACAGTACAAAAACACAGATTAAATGGCAGAAATGGTTACTACGCACATGTCTACTAATTATTAATGTTTATTTTTATTGATGAGTTCTAATTTTGTTTTTGTTGTATATTTTATATGTTCTGATTGCACTATTGTAGCCTTGTTAGCTGCCCTGAGTTCTTTTGGGAGCTGAGGTGGATATAACTGAAGCTATTATTATTATTATTAACTAATTTCATCATTGTAATTTGTAAACTATAACATCCTCACATATTTTTGAGCTTGATGAATTTTAACAAATTTCCAGGGAATGGTTTGTACTATCAAAATCATTAATATAAAAGAAAGTAAACTGTGTGGTTCAACAAATTCACTCAAATGCATCAGATCCCATTAGCAGTCCAGTGCTAATGTTTTGATTATTGGTAGTCCATTATTTGGTGCAGTGATTAATAACTGAATTTGCCTTTCATGTAGATATTTGATTATTTGATTTAATTATTTTATTTCTCTGTTTTCTTTTAGGTTATATGACAAAATCTTCCCAAGCAGTGTGATCAAAAATGGAACTTCAAAGAATTCCTCTGCTGTAGACTTTGCATTTAAAGGACTATATTTAATACTCAAAGGAATATATTCTTTCACCTAGCTATTTTTTAATTTTTAATGAAATTCAAGGATGATAGATTTACAGTGTTTTTTGTTTATTTTTGCTCAGTGCAATGAAATCCCATTATCTTCATTTTGTTCAATGGGGAATACCTGAGTTTTTTGTTAGTAACTTCTTTATTTACCATTGATTCAAATACTTATGTATAACACACTTCTTAAAATTCATTTTCCATTCAAGTGTTACATTTTTTAAACTTCTGACTTCAAATTGATTGTATAAGGACACTAAGAATTTTGATTGTAGAATATGACTTAAATTCATTTGAGCTTTCTGTCTGACTGCTATAAATGCCTCCTTAAATCAATATCCTTGTTAGTATTAATATGAGGCATTGCATTCATTGTTGCATAGCATTGTTACCAAATGACTTGCACAAACAGTGTTTCAGGTGTCAGGGACAAAGTCACAATATCCAGAAGCATCCTCTATGCAGAGGAGAAAATAAAGTTCTGTTGCACTTGGATAGCAAACAGATGAACTTGCTTGCAGTTTTGGAAGTAAGGACTGTTCACAATGAAAGCTGGACTGGACTGTTTTGCTTGAAGAAAGGGAAGCTATGCAGCTTAATGTTTGGATTAATAATAATGATGCTAGTGATGGCATCGTATATATTGACTGGAGCTAAGGGTGGCCTCTTGCTGATACAGCCAGTGCTCCGTTATGGAACTTTTACCAGCAATTCAGACTTGGACAATGAGAGTCTTGGTGACATGAAAGACCATTACCAAACATCTAAAATGAATATTTCATATGCAAAGGATTATCCAAGCATTAAAATAGTCATTGATACTATTACTTCAAACATTGAATTCATAACCAGACATCTTCCAGACCTGGAAGATCTGAAGAAACAAGAAATGCACGTGAGTAAGTTTTGTTTTCTTGAGGGTGGTGGGCTTGACAATTTGCACAGTTGTCCCCTTAAATTAGGATACTGAGATTTATTGTTTAGAGAGCATGCAGATACATTTCATTTTATATTATTATTATTATTATTATTATTATTATTATTATTATTATTATTATTAGGCAATCATTTGGCTTTGTTTATGTGTACTGCCATGCCCCCACAGAGGCTTTTTTTGTTTTCTTTGTCAAGCCTTAGTCGTCCCCTTGGTTAGAATGGGTTCGGTTATTTTTTGTATAGTTTTCTGTGGGAGGGAACCCTAATTAGACACTGTCCTTTAAGAACCCCATACCCAGAGATAGCACTTGCAGTCCTTCTGAGCAACTCCTTTGCAGCCATTTAGTTAGTCAAAGGATGCCAGGAGACTAAAAGCTGCAACATCTTTCATGTCTAAGGTTGAGGAAACTCAGTTTAAGAAGTTTAAGGTTTAGGAAAGTCCAGTTCAAGGTTGAGGAAACTTAGTTTAAGAAGACAAAGCCAGATTAAGGACACAGGAAAGAGGCCAGAAATGAAGATCTCTTTGAAAGTAATCAAGAGACTATCAGTTAGGTTCTGAGCCCCCATCTGTTCCTTATTCAGTTATTAGTCAGACCCCAGGAAGGATTAGGACACTGATCTTTCATGCAATTAAATTATTTTGTTGTGAGTTTCCAACTTTGTTCTCACCAAAAATTGGGTACTTGAAAGTTAGTGTTTGGGACAGAACATGTACTCCAGATATTGCATCACAGGTACTGTGATGAACAACAATAATATGAAAAATCTCATACATTGTCTACAAAGCCTTGGAATTTTTTTAAAATACTAGCATAGTTCCAGGACAAGTTGCAGCCTATGGAAGACTCCCTTCATGTCTTCTGCTGCTTTTTTTGGGATCTGCAGTTAGTTGGATGGTTAGATAGATAGGAACAGTGGTGTATAATTTTAGTGGATGGGCTGTACATATATGAACAAATTCTCTTTTAGTCAGACTATATGAGGAGGGCAATGTGGCTGTCCAAATATTATGGGGAATGTTATAGAAAGTACATGATTACAATGTCTTTAAGGTGTCACAGTGAAAGAAATAAGAGGGTTGAGCCTTTAAAATTTCCTGTTGTAGCCAATGGGTCGAATCTTTGCCGAATGAAAATGGCAACACTCCTCCCCTTTTGACTAATTTCGAGATAAACAGAATGAGGGGTCAGCTGCGTCCGTACCTTGGGAAGGTTGGCTTGGCCACGGTAGTACACGCTTTGGTTACATCCCGCTTAGATTACTGCAACGCTCTCTACGTGGGGTTGCCTCTGAAGACTGCCCGGAAGCTGCAGCAAGTACAACGCGCGGCAGCCAGATTACTAACGGGTGCTGGGTACAGGGAGCACACCACTCCGCTGTTACACCAGCTCCACTGGCTGCCGATTAGCTTCCGAGCACAATTCAAAGTGCTGGTGTTAACCTATAAAGCCCTAAACGACTCCGGCCCTGTTTACCTCTCCGAACGTATTCTCCCCTACGAACCATCAAGACCACTAAGATCGTCTGGAGGGGCCCTGCTCTCGGTCCCACCACCTGCACAAGTACGGCTGGTGGGGACAAGGAACAGGGCCTTCTCGATGGTGGCCCCTCGACTTTGGAACTCCCTGCCATTAGAGATCAGAACTGCCCCCTCCCTCATGACGTTCAGGAAACTAACAAAGACCTGGTTGTGGAACGCGGCATTTGACAACTGATTTAATTCTTTGCCCACATGAAAGGAGGATGATGAATGGGATTGTGATGGTGTCGGACGATTTGGCTCTTTTAACTGTGATGATAATGTTTTAATGTGTATAGTGCTGATATTTTAATCGTGTTATGAAGTGGCATTGTGTTGTTATTGTATATTCTTTGTATGTTAACACATGTTGTGAACCGGTCCGAATCCCTCTTTGAAGGTGAGAGGGTCGGTATATAAAACCTCGAAATAAATAATAAATAAATAAATAAATAAGCTGACAATGGGCCCTGAAACAGGATGCCTTTGGCCAAATTGTGCACCAATAGGATGCAAGCTAGATAGTCATTAGTATGTGAGTGTGTTTCATAGCTAGAGTACACAAATGTATTCCTCTCCACTGCCAGCTCTACATATTTTCCTGGTCCTGGGGCTGAGCAGCAATATATGGCAGCTAATACAATGTTACTAGAATGTAAAAAGAATGGAAACATACTACTATACTTTTCTACTGTATTAACTAAAACTTTCCTGCTTTATGTTGCAGATGTTCTCAGTAATTCCTAGCAAGTTTCTTTCAAACAGCAAAAATCCCTGCTGGTATGAAGAGTACCAAGGAAACACTACCAGAAATCCTTATGCTACAAACTCCTACGCATTATATTCCAAACGTTTCCGGACAATATTTGATTACCTTAGGAAGGTATTTTGGAATCATTTGTATCATTACAAGGACAAGCATTATCGGCTTCGCTGCCTTCCCCATTTTTACATCATAGGTCAGCCAAAGTGTGGGACAACAGATCTTTATGACAGACTTAGGTTACATCCTGATGTGAGATTTTCGGCAATTAAAGAGCCCCACTGGTGGACAAGAAAACGGTTTGGTAAGTATAAACACCTGTTCTGACATTTCAGAGTAATATTTGGTGAGTGCTTGTTCTTCCTCAGCAAGTAGAATCTCTTGGGTCCTGAAGTTTCTGGGTACCCAAGAGGCAATAAATGTGATGCTGCAGAAATGAGGCCTTATTGCTTGGATCTGCCAAGCTAATATAATTTTGCATGAGATAGCTCACCCTAAACCTGCAGCTGAATATAGGGAATCCCACTAATTGAAACTATTGTGTACAAATGTTTATATCTCCATACTCCAAAATGTGATCATTGCTGTGAACATATTATGTCATGCTCCAAAATTATTGATATATAACCACCCTCTTGTTATTTTATAGGGTAATGAGATTGTTTCCAAAGCTGTGTACAGAACAACTTAAGCACCTCAAAATTGTACATTGAAATGTATTAGTACTGTTACCACCAAAACAAGAATTAGCTAGATCAGAGGAAAGTTGCCTAGCAAGTCTAAAATGATTAGTTTTGTTTCTTTGGGCATAAGCGTCTGTCTGAACAAGGCCGCTTCTGTGTCAGTCTTAGAGCACATCTGCTCCATCTTAGACAAAAAGCGTAGGCACAAAAATCAGGGAATGTGTGAATTTTCAAATTACATTTACTTCCTATTCTTTCTCTGTGGAATTCAGACTAGTGTACGTGGTTCTTTATTTTGACCCTTGTAATATTGGGGCAAGGTTGGATGGAAACATAATGATAGCTCTGAAGCAGGGATTGAAAGAATCGAGGGTTCAGACTCATCTGGCTGACCACTATAGAAAACAGGATGTGAAACTGGTTAGATAGGCTCATCTTATTTTATTTTATTTCTTGTGGTGCCTGGTGTAGCAAATTTGTGAAGTAATGCTGCTGTGTGGCCCAAGAAGCATTGTGTGTAGAAAATTAAGTAATAACCACCCAGGCTCTAGTGCTGGGCAGTTACTAGTTTACGGTGCTAGAATCTGATTATCTGTATCTGGCATTTTCAGTTGATGGAAAGATATTGGCAACTGCCAAAGAGTACTAATCCCATACCATCATGTGGTTGGCAGAGGTTCCCTGAATGTTCTCTAGGAGAACAGATGATAGTTCCATGATAATTATCTTACCCAGATCATCATATTTGTCAGTTTGCATTTGCCTAATCTAACACAAGTGTGCTGAGCAGCGTGCTTGTTCTCAACTCATGGTAGCTCATTCAGGGACACAGTGATGACAGTATCTAATGTGTAATGTCCTCCTTGCTTGAGTGCCAGTTTGGCTGGAGTGAGCATGGGAAGCAATTATGATTATTATCTAAAACTAGAAAAAGTTTCACCATCTGGCACCATCTCTGTCCCTGCTGTCATACTTCTAGTGGCTTCCTAAGATTGTTCAGGGCCTGGAGAACAGATTGTTATTATTTCCCTCAACAGCCTTGAGGTTATCTCGAGATTTTGGAGCACCTGGAAATACATTTTAAGTAGTTGCCCTGTAACAATGAGCTCCCACCCTTCCTGCTGCCTTCAGTATGTCTAATTGTTTTTGTTCTCTTGTGTCCTGAGACACATGGGAGCAGCTGAGCCTCTGAGGAGTTGATTACCAATGTTTTGGCTATTTGTCCTACAGGTGACCTTGAAGGCAGTGGCTTTTACTACCCAGAGTAATATTTTTTGCAACAGACGGATTCAGTTGTTTGTTCTTCCCTCAATCTGCTCTTAAGTAGAGTACTCAGTAGATGTGAGATGAACTAAGTTGAGTGGGATTTTAATTAATATGTGTTGTTCTTTCAAGCACATTCCCGTTTATCAGTATTTTCTTTGTCTTATAGTCATCCTGAGAACTGCATTTGTCCTGTAAACAGTTCTTGCATCTTGTCAAATAAAATGTAATTTGTTGAAAGTAATTACTACAGGTTATTGAGGCCAGACCCAAAGAATGGCTGCCCTCAAAACTAGATCCATCCAATCAAGCTGAGTCTGGGCTTGGTCAGTACGTGGATGAGACATTGCCTGGAAATATTCTGTATATTATGGGTAGGATAGAAGCAAAACAAGCCATTTGCAAAAATGAATAGTAATTTCCACAAACCAGCGTTACCAACACTGTCTGTAGGAGGATAAATCTTTTTTTGGCATTGACACTGACAAGGATATTCTTGGAGATTCTGTGAAGCTGAACTATTTTAAAAAAAAGTGCTTGTCTTATAGTAGCAGAGCAGAAGTGCTCTAGGTGGCATGAATGAAGTACAGATTCATTCATGTAAGAGCTAATCTTCCTCGGTGCTACAACGGTACTCTGTTTCTTCATTATCAGTGCTTTGATGTCCATCAGGAAATGCGGAGCTTTCATCTGCATCTTGCAATTGCTGTAAGACATTTTCCAGAGACATGTTAACTCTCCACTTTTTTTCCAGTGCTTCTGTTTGGTTCCTTTTGCAAGTTTCAGTGCAATGTTGCATTTATTTGGATTTTTCCTATTGATTTGGGATTCTGCAATATTTAGACTGTATTCTCTTATAGTAGATGTTACTGTCTAGTAAATGAATCATCCTCAAGGAAGAAGTGTTCCTGTTTATTGGATTTCTCTAGCAAATATTTTTATTTGAATCTTCCAGTAAAGATTCAAATAAAGATTTTCCAATAAAGATTTATTAGAATAGAGGAACAAAGTATATTATTGCTCTTATCTTTGCTTCTGCATTACAGGGTGAGCAGCTCTTGTCTAAAATTCTGAAATCTGAAATACCCAAAAATTGTCTGAGATAGTGATACCTTTGCTTTCTCTTGACTCAATATTTTGGGTATTTTGGGCCCAAGCATTGTGGGTAAGGATCCCCATCCTGTACAAACACATTTATTTATTTATTTACAATATTTATAATCTGCCCTTCTCACCCCAAAGGGGACTCAGGATGGATCACAATGCACACATACACGATAAACATTCAATGCCATTTTGAACATACAAGACATACAGACAGATAGAGGCCATTCTTCCACTTTGGATCCTGGAGGTTGCTTGATTCAGCCCCAGGGGGAGCTCTCGTTCATCCACTATGGCGCCAAGCCTTTTTTATCATAGTATTTCCTCTTGCTCTCCAACATTTTTATGGTGTCATAAATTAACCTCCCCGCTTTAAGCGGTCCCTAATTTCTTTACTCACAGCTCACAACTGTTTCAAATTGCTTAAGTGGACAGTGAGCTGGGCAATTTTTAACAGCTATTTTTTTAACAGATATTAACAGTCAGGCACTCAACCCTGACTCAGGCTTCGAACTTGCCACTTTTCGGATGGCAGTGATTTATTGCAGCTGATTAACCAGCTGTGCTACCAGCCCCGCTCTATAATACAGCTTTTCTATGCTTTTATTTACCTTGTCTTGTATACCTTTTGGCTAAACTTTGGTACATCAGTTGAAAGTTTCCTTGAATAACTACAAAGGAGCAATCTATAACCATATAAGCAAGATCCATCAAATCCTGCTCTAAATTATATACTATATCATTCTCACTGTTTCCCTGTTCTTGCACATATGAATATTCATAATTTAATATACAGACTTCATTGTGTAGATTTTTTTTTAAAAAAAATGATGGTCTTTCAATTAGGCTTTTAGCATATTGTTGTTTATCATTTCTTTAAAATTCCAGCAAATCTCCAATTTTTACAGCTTCTGTTTTCTGTTTTTTTTTATTCTTGTTTAGGAATTATTCGCTTGAGGGATGGATTTCATGACCGCTACCCAGTGGAAGATTACCTGGATCTTTTCGACTTAGCTGCTCATCAGATTCAGAGTGTGCTTCAGGGAGATGCTGGGAATGACTTAATGAGCAACATCATAATTGGTACAAAAAATGTGTTGTCGAAGGCTTTCATGGCCAGAAATCGCTGGGTTGCTGTGAGTTTTCTGGGCTGTATGGCCATGTTCCAGAAGCATTCCCTCCTGACGTTTCACTCACATCTGTGGCAGGCATCCTCAGAGGTTGTGGAGTCTGTTGGAAACTAGGCACGTGAGGTTTATAGATCTGTGGAATGTCCAGGGTGCAACATTCACACCTGCTTCAAACAGACAGGAGTTTTTCCCCCCACCCTGGACATTTCACAGATATATAAACCTCACTTGCCTATTTTCCAGTAGACCTCCCAACCTCAGAGGATGCCTGTCATAGATGTGGGTGAAATGTCAGGAGAGAATGCTTCTGGAACATGGCCATTCAGCCCAGAAAATTCACTGCAACTTGGCACAAAAAATGCTGTTTATGAGTTATACATTTATGGTAGTAGTATTACTGTAACAGAATTTTAGTTATCTATAATAAGATGAGCAAGATTAGCCCTGCTTACTGCTTGGATGAGAGGCCACATGAATAGCAGGTGCTGTAGACTATATTTTAGATGAAGGAACTGGCAAAATTACCTCTGATTATTCCTTGCCGAAGAATGCCCTAGGAAATTGATGGCTTTTCCATACATTGATAGGCACATATATCAAAAGAAGAGTTCACTATTACCTCTGAATAGTGCAAACGAAATATGTGCTAAAATATAAATAAGGCAGTATTTTAGTAGAAAAAATTATGTTGGCAGAAGAGGAATGAATTCAAAGACATAGAACCCATCCTATTACTCAATCATCTTAAAAGGAATGTGTCAAAATCTTTTGTCATCAACTACTAATGAAAACAATTTAAAATTCTGCCAGAAAAGAAGATATAGTGACAAACTTTAAACCAGAGACCACATGTGCACAAATGTAACTTTTCCTGGGCAAAGTCAGAGATAGGAGTTCAGTGGAAAATCCAGAGTGTCCTATGCCTTTGGGGCAGTCCGGACAATTAGATGAGATCTGATTTGGCTCCACCTGCTGTCCAGAAGTGACACCAATGCCATCACCCTTTTCCTACAGTCCTCAGTGCAGGGAAAGGGTATGGATCATGGCCACATGACCAGGCATGACCCCACCTCCTTCTGTCTTATCATGTCAATGAAAAGAATGAGAGGCTCACATGACTAGGAAGACGTGATGGGGGTCAGCCCTTCCTTTATGCTGATCACATGAGCCCCTGGTGGTGCAATGGGTTGAACCCTTGTGCCAGCAGGACTGCTGACCAACAGGTCAGCAGTTCAAATCCAGGAAGAGCAGGTTGAGCTCCCTCTGTCAGCTCCAGCTCCCCATGCGGGAACATGAGAGAAGCCTCCCACAAGGATGGTAAAACATCAAACATCCGGGCATCCCTTGGGCAACGTCCTTGCAGACAGCCAATTCTCTCTCACCAGAAATGACTTGCAGTTTCTCAAGTCGCTCCTGACACCAGAAAAAAAACAACAACAAAAAACCAAAAACATGGGCACTGACTTCTGTTTCAATTTTCCAGACAGATGAACTTCAGTTAAAGAAAAGTTTACTTTGGCTTTTTTCTCATCAAGTTTCCAGGGGAAAAAACCTTGATTAATATGATCATTATATTATAACTTTTTTATTACCTTGTTAAAATACAATTTAGTTGAGAATGCATGCATAGAATATATGAAAATCAGAGATTCGCTTATGAAGCACTATTATTAAACCTCAGATGATTAAAAAGGAGATATATAATTAAATCTATAAACATTCATCTAACTTTATAAGGCAATGTAATTTTCTAACTAAAAACATATCTGAATTTCAAGCTACTGGGTTATAATTATATTGCCAGCCGAAACCTTGGAGGTTTCAGAAGTGTTACACAAAATATTGTGCTAGGAGCTCCAGGCATTCTAGACAGAGTTTATTTATTTATGATCATTATTATGATAAATTTACTAGAATGTTTTCTTGAAAGCACAACATGATTTTATTCCATTAATCTCAGGATAAGGACATTCTCCAGACTTTCTCTAATGAAAGTAGACAGTTTAATCATAACTTACACGCTTTGAGCTTCTGTGAAAAAATTGCTATATTTTGAACTGTGCTGTAAATGCAGGGTTGTTAATTTATCAAGGGCTGAATATGGCTTCCTCCTCATAAACATTAATGCAGAAGTCTGATGTGGTTGTGGAAATGCTGAAACTAATAAGAACTGTATTTTTGGCTCCATTATCCAAAATACTAGCATATCAGAGGTGTTAGTGGGGAGCAGAAATAATATAATTGTATTACTAGCAAACATATCAGAAACAAATATCTCATAGAGTCCATGTTAATGACTGGGGTATCACACATGAACACATATTAATTGAATCTAATGATTTATTACTGTGAATCTAAGACTTGCATCCCAATGGTAATCCCAAGTAGAATAGACTCATTTAATCAGTTGAGTCAACACATCCATTTAACATTCAAATATTACCAAAGCTTTTTCTAGTTGGCACTACCAGTTGGATTCAGCTCTAGTTTTCACTGATGGTGGACTGGCCATATCTTGTTTTATTGTTGCCAGACCAAATTCGGTACAAACAATAAAAGCAGAGTTTATATTGCAGTAACTGCCATCTTCTCTCTTTGTTCATTCAAAAGTGCATCTGGTGCTGTGGGTTTATAGCCCATGAAAGCTTGTGCTGATATAAATTAGTTAGCCTTATAGGTGCCATACGCCTCTTTTATTTCCTCCCCAGCACCTTCGTATACTCAAAAATACTCTTCAGAACATCCTAGGTTTAGTATCTTTAGTTATGACAGATATAAGTGTCCAGTAGTAATTTGAATCAGTGTATTGTATCTCAGTGATTAGGAGATGTAGGATTTATAGTCTGTTGGATATACACAGAGGAAGGGCATAGACCAGTTTTTCTCAAATTCTGCTCCTTCAGGTGTTTTGGACTTCCACTCCTAGAAATCCCAACCAGTTTACCGGCTTTTAGGAATTGTGGGAGTCGAAGTCCAAAACATTTGGAGGAGCAGAGTTTGAGAAACACTGGAATAGACCGTTTGATGTAAGTATGTGCACCCCGATCCGACCATGGGCACAAAGAGGGATGCATCTAATACATTCTGATGAGTATAAGGAGTCAAGGCTTAAGGAACACTCCTTCAAGAATATGTAATGCAAAAAAGCAGGTAGGACAAGTTTATTCAGAACTGTAGTGTAAAATAGTCCCTTTAGTTCAGCGGTACTTTATTTTTGACAAGTGCTTGTAGGATAGAAATCATATTTTTAAAATGCAGCATTCTTTCAACCTGTGTACACATATAACCCAAAGGAATGTACATTTGATGTTATGTAAATATGAATACAGGCAGACCTCAGTTGACAAACCCTCTGATAATAAAACCCCTTTTAAGAAAGTTTTTTATGCCTACCCACCCCTTCTTTCTCTGTCATCCTTTCTCTGGCAGGAGGGTTGTTTAATAGTTGTATTGGTATTTGGATAATGAAGAAAGATGAATGGAGAAACACAGACTGTGTTTCTTGGGTCGTGGAAGTGTGTTTGCAATAAACAGTGCAATAAAGCATGAGCTGGAAAAGAAAGGGCTTCTCCTCTAGCTTGCCTATTATAACAGGCTAGGTAAACAGCAATTGTTTCCAGAATCTGTTACTGAGCCTTGTGTTAGGAGCAAAGAGAGAAAGGGAGAACAGATAAGTCTGCCACATTAGCTACTTCCAGCATGGCCCTTTCCACACAGCTGAATAAAATCCCACATTTTCTGCTTTGAACTGGGATATATGGCAGTGTGGACTCAGATAACCCAGTTCAAAGCAGATATTGTGGGTTTTTTTGCCTTGATATTCTGGGACATAGGGTTGTGTGAAAGGGAACCTATGTTAAATAAGCACAGATCTGTAAGTCTGGCTACAAAAATAAGAATCGTAAGAGAAGTGGAGGTTGGTGAAAAACAAAAATAATTCTTGTGGAGAGAAAAAGTGGGTTATAAATAAACATTATTATTATTATTATTATTATTATTATTATTATTATTATTATTATTTTAAAAGAGGCATTCAGGTGGTTTCCTGAAATTCTAAATGGCGATGTTTACTTCTGCAAGGCTTATGTGGCCTGGTTGCTTCATTTCACATGTGCATATTATTAGTTTTGAATAAAAAGTTTGCTGAAACATGTTGAACTGTGCTTCTTTTTTGTGGTGTAGGAACTTATGCCCATTCTTTCCATGTTATTTCTGCCTCTGGTAACAAATTTTCTGTTAAAGAAGTCTAGAAAGGCAACACATTGACTTCATTAACTAAGGGATACCAGTGTGCCCATTCAGAATTAAGCATAGTTTCAAATATGACTTTTTAGGGCTTGTATATAAAACTTGTATTTAGTTATTTATGTCCTGCTCTCCTCCATACAGGACCTACAGTATTAATAACGTTTTGTACAAAGAGGGGTCAAAATCTCTTAACATTATTTAGCACATGGCTTTTAATACCCTGGTCTTATAAAACCTTATAGTAATGCTTTATTTAGTTTTCTTAAATGAAGGTTAAATTGTATGCAATGTTTGTCATTTCTAGGAGAGGCAAGTGCTTCAACAATGTGGGACAACAATGCTTGGATTTTCTTCTATGACAACAGTACAGAGGGAGAACCTCCATTTTTAATACAAGATTTTATCCATGCCTTTCAGCCGAATGCAAAACTGATTGTCATGCTTCGGGATCCTGTTGAAAGGTTAGCACTCATTACTTAGACACCTTCAAAGAAGTATATTTTATGGATTTGTTCTGCTTATGTATAGTTAACTGTCCTAGGAATTCTATTTAGCCAAATATGCACTGCTAACACTTCAGAATTCATTGGTTTAATAAACAACCAACTGCTAAATACAGTGGCCTGAATCCTGTATCAGTCACTTAGTAAAGTATAGTAAATGGGCTTAGCTAAGTAACCTCTTCGTCTCAGCCCCCCACTCCAAACCTATGCTCTAATCACCAACAGAATGGACCTCCTTCTTCCCATGCATACTTTATAGTAGGCATGGGCAAATTTCAGACTGAAGTCAGTGCCCATGTTTTGGTTTTTTGTTTGTTTTTTCTTGTGTCAGGAGCAAACATTTTGGTGTCTTGGTTTACAGGCCTGTTATTTGGCGTGCTGATTCAGAAAATTGCATTGCATAGATCGCATCAGCTCTAGTTTCTTAGATATAGTTATCATGATTTTCTATGGGTGAGCAGATGGCAACTGATAGATAACATGTGTTCTATATCTCAAAAAATTAGAGCTGGTGCCATATATACCCAGACACAGATCTAAGATTTGAGGCACCAAAGTGCGTGTTGGCCAGTGTAATTTGAATTAAATTAGGGAGTTTTACACGAAAAATATGTCCTTTTAAAATATTTTTATTTATTTTATTATAATTCAAGATATCTTTGATTGTAGGCTGTAAAGAGAGATAACCAAAAAGCAATGATCTCTAGAGTCTTTCTTATCCCAATGCTTCTTCAGCATTCTAATCCAGTTTGTGGGCGGCATGCAGGAGGAAGTGCTGAAGTTACTTTATACTTATTTTATGAGTCTGTCTTACACCAAACCAAAAATAAGGCTTCTTATTATTTATTTATTTATTTATTTATTTATTATTCTCTGCTTTTTCTCTCTACAAAAGAGACCTGAAGCAGTTTACATTTAATCTAATGGAATATGATTTAAAACCTAAACATATACAAACATTAAAAAAGAATTACCTATTAATGGGATTATAAAAAAACAGTTAAAATGCTTAAACTGATTAAAAACTTATTCAAAGCTAAGACCACACCCCTTGACTAGTTGTAGTCCTAACTGGAATAGACACACTGAAGCAGTTGTGTTTATTTAAGTAGCACACCATTCAAGAACTCACAATTCAATAATTCATTCAATAGGTCTAGTGAAGGTGACCAAGCAAAAGGATTCTAAGCAAGAATGCTAAACTACCAACTTATGAAATTTATGATAACTCTTACATATAGAGACACATCAAAAATGGCCTGTAGATCCAGGAAGCATCCTAGGCTCTTCTTATATCAGGAAAGATACAAATATTCAAACTGGTTGGTCATAGATTTATTTGAAAGTGAAATTTCCCATGATAAAGTTAATACGGGATGTTTTAACCTTGAATGGTCAAGAAGGATGCCAAGTTCAAATACATATAAAATCTGGTCCTGACTTTCATTTCTCCCTGTTGTAAGAAAGCAAGATAGGTGTGGTCCTGTATGAATACTATTTTGGAAAATCATTTCTGTCTAGACCAGCATTTCTCAACCTGGGGGTCGGGACCCCTGGGGGGGGGGTCACAAGGGAGTAAGGGGGTGTCAGAGGGGTCGCCAAAGACAATCAGAAAACACAGTATTTTCTGTTGGTCATGGGGGTTCTGTGTGGGAAGTTTGACCTGCTATTGGTGGAGTTCAGAATTCTCTGATTTTAGGTGAACTATAAATCCCAGCAACTAGAACTCCCAAATGCCAAGGTCTATTTTTCCCAAATTCCCCCAGTGTTCACATTTGGGCATATTGAGTATTCGTGCCAAGTTTGGTCCAGATCCATCATTGTTTCAGTCCACAGTGCTCTCTGGATGTAGATGAACTACAACTCCAAAACTCAAGGTCAATGCCCACCAAACCCTTCCAGTATTTTCTGTTGGTCATGGGAGTTCTGTGTGCCAAGATTGGTTCAATTCAATCATTGGTGAAGTTCAAAACTCTCTTTGATTGTAAGTGAACTATAAATACCAGCATCTGCAACTCCCAAATGACAAAATCAGTCCTCCTCCCCAACCCCACCAGTATTCAAATTTGGGTGTATTGGATATTTGTGCCAAATTTGGTCCAGTTAATGAAAATACATCCTTCATATCAGATATTTGCTTTACGATGCATAACAGTAGCAAAATTACCGCTATGCAGTAGCAATGAAAATAATTTTATGGCTATGGGTCACCACAAGATGAGGAACTGTATTAAGGGGTCATGGCATTAGGAAAGTTGAGAACCACTGGTCTTAACTCATAGACTGGGATGTCCCTGGATGTTCTGATTTATGTTTGTAGAGGTTTCTCTTCAAACCAATCATTTTTAAAAACATTGGAGAATGCATGACAACAATTTTGTGGAACAGAATAGGCAACAGTCCACCCTTTCTGAATATCAGTGCCATCCTTCTTATTTTTTAGGTTGATGGTGATAGACTACATACACCATCGTCCTATTATGAACATTTTCCTTATTAGAAATTTATTTTCATCAGGACAATATGGGATAAGATCTATTAACAATATAGTTTAAGACACCACTTGCCACACTTTGTGTCAAGAGTTGCATTAGGAAACACGCTGTTGACTTGATAAATATATTTTGTAGCCTCTGAATGCTAAAATATGGTAATTGTATGCAAGAGAGATGGAAGAATTGACTTTCTGCTGGAAATGATTTGGAAATGTTCTGCAGTGTGACTCTAATGTTTGCTAGTTTTGCTGTGTTTTATAATGTGCCTTTGAACTTGGAACATAAGCTCCTGTTTAGTTGCAATGGAGAATGTTTACACTATGCCAGCTTTAAAAAAAACCCTGGGTGAATAATTTCATTCCTGTACTGCTGAATTGAAAATATTGAATTAGTTAGTGTTCTGTAGTATAACTTCTTTTCTGTCACATTATGTCTTTCACTAGTATGGTGAAGATCAAGAGATCGATTGCGTCATGAACTAAGATCTGTTGCTTTCTTTCCTAATTTTTACACAAAGTTTGTAAGAGTGAAAAAAGACCAAATTGTCACAGGAAAAAAAAGATAATTTTTTTGTTATAACACAAGGTTAAATATGTGTTATAGATCTAGAAAGGCTGTACAGCTTTCCCTTTCCTGTAACCCAGCTGACTTTGAGTCACGGAGTTTATGACAATTTATCACATCTTAGTTGTGAAATGTCTTGAAGGGGGAAGTTATTACCTATTGAATATTTTATTCTGGAGAAAATTCTATGTTGCTTAGATATTGAGAAAGAATTTAAAGGAAGCAGTCATGGTTGTGGTACAGCCTAGATCAGAGGTGGACAAAATGTGGACAAAATACATTGCCCAGACCTTTCTACATTTTCATTTATCACTTTTTGTTATAACTTGGAATTAGGTTGAGCTGGGGTTGATTCCACTTAATGTGCATAGAAACTGTTGACAAACACAGGTTTTCTTCTAGAATTGCCCTGTATTTGGCCCCATCTGTTTTGCCTTCAATCTTGACCAGTTAACTAGTACTTGCTGACAGAAAATGCCTCATGCTTAAGTCAACAAAATACTGGGTACATCCAAACAATCAGTTCCACTTTATTTCAGTGAACTCTGGGAGTGACACATTTCTATTTTGCTCATATTTTGTCTTGCAGAAGTTTATATTCATTTGTTGCTTCTACATTGCTCAGTTGTTATTCTGGTATACTATATTGTAATGACTGTAGAGACTTGGAAATATAAGTGAAGCTCTATCTAACCTCTGACTAGTCTGCTACACTTCCTTTCTTATTATAACATGAAAGAAAGGAAAAAACTTGTCAATCTAGACAGAAAAAGTTCATCACACTAGGGAAAAATCCACTTAAAATGTGGTTTCTACCTCCTGCAGAATTCTGGGGTTTGTAGTTTAGGGAGTAGCCTTTAACAGCCTCACTAAACTACAAATCCCAGAAGTCTGCAGGAGGCAGAACCTGGATTTTAAGTGTTTCTTTTTCTTTAGTGTAAGAATAACTATAAATCCGCATTGTTAAAGCTATACACCAGCTCAATTAAAGTTGGGCTATATGACAGTGTTCTAGTAGCATTTTCTCTTGATGTTTCACATGCAGCTGTGACTGGCATCTTCAGAGAATCTGATGATAGTAAAGCAAGTGAAGTATATATCTGTGGAATGTCCATGGTGGGAAAAAGAACCAAAGTTTGCTAACCAAGTCCGTTAACTATCACATGAAAAGGTAGCTCAAGGAAGGTTCTAGAGTAGACCATGTACTGAAACACAGTATCCTAAAGAAAAGATAGTTGCTCATAGAGAATAGGTTAAAGAAATGAAAAGAGAAAGTAGCAAATTGAAGAAAAGAGCATCTAATGAGTAACAAAAAAGATAACAAGGTTTTGAGACAAATTGATTTAGAAGTTATCATTATATAGGTGGATGGTAGAAGTCATGAGAATGAATAACCACACCAAGAAAAATAATAATGTGAAAATGAGGAATGAATTCTGCAAGTCTTTTAAAGATAGTTGGAGGGATGAAAACAATAAGTTAGCAAACCTATATCACAGCAATAACAGGACATGCATCTAGGTCTTGGGGTATTTTCACTTATTGTTTTTCTGTCCAGCCAAAAGAAATTGAAACATTCTTGTTTATACAATGGGATTCTCAAAAGCTGCTTTAGACATGGAATCAACTAAAACCTGGATAAGGATGAAAATTGGTATTAGTTTTCTCAGGGCCCTTCCAGACAGACCCTATATCCCAGGATCTGATCCCAGGTTTTCTGTTCATCCCAGATTATCTGGCAGTACAGACTCATTTAATCCAGTTTAAAGCAGAAAACCTGGGATCAGATTCTGGGATATAGGGCCTGTCTGGAAGTGCCCTCAAGAATGAGGTCTGCCTTTCTAACATACCCAACTTTTCAATGAATCAGAGTAAGCTGTCTGCTTATGACAGCTGAAATGTCATGATTTCACTGGAGAAAAAAATTACAAAATTAATTGCTATTGTCTAAACAAAATCTCACTATACAAATAACATGTCTTTTCATTCCCTGGACAATAGCTGTTGTTCGACTCCCTTTATTTTCATTATGATAACATGACTTGACAGCAACTGCTTTTCATTTGTTCCAATATTTTTTTCATTCACAGATTGTATTCTGATTATCTCTACTTTGCAAGTGCTAACAAATCAGTTGAAGACTTCCATGAAAAAGTGGCAGAATCACTGCAGCTATTTGAAAATTGCCTCTCAGATTATTCCCTGAGAGCCTGTGTATACAACAACTCTCTCAACAATGCCATGCCAGTATGTAAATTAAAATTCATACTTGATTAGATGCTCAAAAAATGGATTCTAAAACCAGTATTACCACAACAAAATGTTTAAAACAAAATCCTTACAAAATTAAGATCTTGCTTCTTGCTTCACAAAAAATAAGTTGTACCACCTTAGATTGTTGTTGGGGTTTCAGGTGATTGTAAGGTTCATCCTGTAAAAGAATGTTCATATAAAAACCTCATGTATGGAAATGTGTTGGTCAGAGACCTTCTCTCTATGTAACAATTATATAGGTTAAGAATTTGAGGGAGAAGAATTGAGGGTAATATGGGTCTGTTCTCAACTGCATCTGAATTAGTCCATTTCAGATTCCTTCTTCCAGGTAATGTTTGTGGACTGCCTAGAACTGGTTTGTCCTTGTTTAATTTTAGTTAAAAGATCAGCTGTGATCCGAAAAATGACATTAATATAATAAGAGTTTATTGGTTTCTGGACGACCTATCTCAGATAAACTGGTGGATAGAAAAGGCAAGTTAGGTCTTGGAATAGGGCTGCTGCCTTGGGTTGTGAAATAGTAGAACTATAGGCAGCTGATATGGGTGACCATTTCACATTTGTGTATGAACTTACTCAGGTTAACAAGGATATAACAGTTAACAAGTATATTCCCTGAGTGATGCCAAGGAGACATTGCTTTTGGCTGCCTATTCCCACCCACACCTTTATCATTTCATAGTGAGGGGTAATAATTATCACTGTCTACACTGCTGTATTATCCTGATGCATTTCAACTTTATCAAGAAAGCCTCATTTCCTCTATGATGTCAACAGTGTAACCTGGTGGTGGTGATGGTGGTAGTAGTAGTAGTAGCAACAACAACAACAACTTTATTTATACCCTGCCCCATCTTTCCGAGGCTTATAACAGTGTGAATAACAACAATAATCAAAATAAAATGATGATGATGATAATACAACAATAAACCAATAACCAATTTAAATAGATGTTAAATTTTAATAGCATATAGGATGTTAGTGGAGGAAACACCAATTAGACATCATGATGGCTTATGTTTAAGACTGCAACCAGCTGGAATAACTGGAATAGTTCTACTAAAGTAGAGAAGACCAAAGTTGGATCTACACTGCCCTTTATCCCAGGATCTGATCCTAGATTATCTTCTTATCTCAGATTACCTGGCAGTGTAGTCTCATATAATCCAGTTCAAAGCAGATAATATGGGATTCAATTTTGATATGTAGAATAGTGTAGATCCAGCCTTGTTTACTTTTTAATGTAATTCATTTATAACCCACAGTTTCACTAAAATAATAGTCAAGATAACTAATAATCAACATTTCAAAAACACACGTTGAGTATGCCTTATTTGGAAATCTGAAATATTCCAAATTTGTCCCCATAAATTGCTGAAATAGTGACACCTTTGCTTTCTGATGGTTCAGTATGCATGCACTTTAATTCATGCACAAGATGATTAAAAATCCTGTGTATAAAATTACTTTCGGGCACTGTGTGTAATATGCACTCATAAATGTTGTGTTTAAATGTGGGAACCATGTCCATCATATTTCATGTGCAAGTATTCCAGAATCTCCCCCCCCCCCAAAAAAAAGAAACCCCCAAACACTTCCAGTCCCAAGCATTTTGTATAAAGAATGCTTAGCCTGCTAATTCAAATTTACAATTAAAACTTAAAAGCACATTAGTAATAAAAAGTAAGCATCACCAAACAGTGCCCTTGAGCAAATAACATGACTTAAAAGATTATCTAAATAAAAATGTCTGTCTGTCAGCAGAAAGACAGCAGACATGTAAAATTATATAATTAAAATCTGCCTTTGTGCTTGTTTGTTTTATGTATTTATCACAATCATTATTAATATTATTATTTTGTCCTTTTAGGTAAGGCTCCAGGTTGGTCTGTATGTCGTTTTTCTTCTGGACTGGCTGACAGTTTTTAATAAAGATCAAATACTAGTTCTCCGCTTGGAGGATCATGCATCCAATGTTAAGTTTACTATGCACATGGTGTTCCAGTTTCTGGATTTAGGTAGGTATTGTTTAAACTCTGAAGCTGCCATGTATTATCTAAAGCTTGCACCCATCATCCTTTTCCAGTTGGCCTTTCAATGGCTTGACTGCAAAGATAACAGCGGCAATGAGAAAGAACTTTTGCTTTGGAAAAAACAGAATTCAGTACTTCCCTGAGCTTTAGGGTTGATTTTTTGGTCTAGTTTGAATCTGTGAGATGGGGTGAGCTCCCATCTGTCAGCCCCACCTTCCCATGTGGGGGACATGAGAGAAGCCTCCCACAGGATAATAACACATCCGGGCTTCCCCTGGGTAATGTCTCTGCAGACAGCCAATTCTCTCACACCAGAAGCGATTTGTAGTTTCTCAAGTTACTTCTGACACGATAAAAACAAATCTCAACATTCAAAAACATGTAATGTGGAGAATTTTAGTACACTATATGAAAATGAAAGATGACTGCTTAATCTACAAATGTTTGTCTGCATGCCCAGCTATACTGCGTTTTCTTTTTTAAATTAAAATCTAATCTAAACATTCTATATCCAGAAACCTCCAGTTAATTTATTCATAACATGCTATGTTTGTTGTAATATCCACTATATAATTAGACTGCATATATTCAAACTTATTTTTTGAGGTTACTTAAATTTAGCCTTGCAATGTCCATAAAACATTCATTATTTTAATTACCACCCCCCCCCCCTTTTTTTAAATTACACTGCATTTAGATTCATTTCACACACATTTTTAGGCAATTAATTTACAGGCACATTTCAGAAAAATAGCGAATTCACCATTTCACCAGAAGTACAGTATATTTGTCAAAGGTTATGTCTACATTAGATCATTTTGTGCAGCAATGTCGAGAGCTCTTTGGTATACAATTGAGCATACATTTGCCCCTTTTTTATCTTGTAGTTGCTCAATTATTTAGGAGTGGGTCGACAGGCCAGTAGGCCATGATGCCTTGTATTCATATATGGTTTTACTGTATGTGTATGTTTTGCATGTTTTGATATGGTCAAAATTGACTAATCAATAAAGAATTGTATTGTTATGTCTACATACTTCACAATTTCTGTGTTAAAACAATTTGGTCATAACCTACACAAGAAAAGGCATTCACTCAAATAGCATGATGCCAGTTCATTATTTAAATGATTTTCCTGTGGACCTCGTGTGAATTAGTAAAATAATGATTTCAGGTAAGTCATAAAATCTTCCTTAAAGGAATAAATATGAAATAGTTATGACTTCCAAAAGCATAATGTTAAAAAGAAACAATATTTTACCTTAAAATGTGAATTCTTGATTATTTTATATTGGGTTTTTTAAAAGTTAACCACAAGGAGTGATTTTTCGCTCCTTATGATTCAACACGTCAACCTGATACTATAAGGGGGATGACTGCAATTAATTATTAGATGTTTCAAAAATGTCAACACTCTGGAATGTTATCTTGGATAATGTACTAAATTAGCATTAATTTGTGGGAGCTTGCAGATAGAATAAAAAACATATCTTTCCTCTTTTTTACTTTTTGCACATTGGAAGTATAATCACATACGTTCCTCATACTTTCAGAAACCAGATTTGTTTTTGCATAATTATCTGGAACTTTTGCATCTAAGGGGTCCTCCTACATGTGAAAGAATGAATCCGTTCAGGGTGAAATCAATTTCTGCTTGTGCAACAGGTTTTTCCTACCATCTCCTGCTATGCAATGTTTTCAAAACATGAAGAACAAGATGTGTTATTTGGCTATAAACCTTAATGTCAATTATTTCTCTTTCACTAAATAAAAACAGTGGGGAGAGAATGAGCAGATTTGGCATAGAGCACATGAGTTAAATTTAAGGCCCTCGGGCTGAATTCAGCCCACCATGTCATTTTATGTGGCCCTCCAGATGCTGGACTACAACTCATCATTAGACACCAGAACTGGTGCTGATGTGAGTTGTGATACAGCAACATCTGGAAGGCTGCAATTTGTTCTGTTTACTCAGAATAGTGGGGTTTGAGTTTAGATACAAGACTTGTGTCTGTGATATCTGATTTAAAATGTCCTTCAACGTTTCCCTTATCTCAGAGCCATAAGTCTTGTTTGGCTGAAATTCCCATTATACCCAATCAACATGGTAGATAATCAAAAGTGATGAGAGTTGTCATTCAGTAACATCTAGAGACCCAAACTGGCTTGAAATTGGTGAGCCCCAGCCACTATGTCAAAAAATATAGTTCACCACCTATAGACTCAGTGACCCTTGCGGACCTTGATGGAAATGAGTTAGACACCTGGTATAGTTTTATTTCATTTGAAGTGGTTTCTGTTTCTTGACAAGTTGGAATGTGTTCAGAGGAGGGCCACTAAAATAATTAAGTCCTATGATGAAAGGTTTAAAGAGCTGGGCATGTTTAGGCTTCAGAAGAGAAAGCTGAGAGGAGACATGATGGCCATGTATAAATATGTGAGGGGAAGTCATAGGGAGGAGGGAGCAAGCTTGTTTTCTGCTGTTCTGGAGACTAGGATGCAGAACAATGGCTTTAAACTACAGGAAAGGAGATTCCACCTGAACATTAGGAAGAACTTCTTGACTGTGAGAGCTGTTCAGCAGTGGAACTCTCTGGAGTGTTGTGGAAGCTCCTTCTTTGGAGGCTTTTTAGCAGAGGCTGGATGACCAACTGTCAGGGGTGCTTTGAGTGTGATTTTCCTGCTTCTTTCGCAGGGCGTTGGGCTGGATGGCCTATGAGGTCTCTTCCAACGTTATGATTCTATAAATGTTCAGTGCTCCACTTGCACATTTAATAATGTTTATCTTTGAAATGTTTGGGTAAATGTATCACCAACAAATCCTGTACATGCATATGCTAATTTTAGTTTGTTTATGTGTTTACTTGTTTCCCTACAGGGGCCCTGACTGAAAAACAAGAGGCTCTCATTACTAAGAGCCCTGCATCAAACACTAGAAGGCCCGAGGATCGTAATCTAGGTCCCATGTTACCGCTTACAAAGGAAATTCTACGAGATTTCTATCAACCTTTTAACACAAAACTGGCTCAAGTTCTTTCTGATGACGCTTTTTTATGGAAAAAACCATAACCACAGTTTCAGTGCCAGAAATACAATGCTTAAAGAAAATTTTATTTTTTTAAAATCCCGATTGAAGGTGCAATCAATTACTTATTCTGAGATCAAGAGGTCTATTGCAATTAAATCTTTCTCCCAAGGGTTAATATATGTCAGAGAAACTATAGAAGAACATAAAGCAACATGATTGTCAATCTCCTTTGCAACAACTATTTCTGTCTCAGCAAAAGAACTCTGTGTAGATATTTATGAAGCAATCTTACATCCTCTGGTTTATGGTTTTGAAATATAATTTGCAAGCTATTACAATACAGAAATTAGCACTAGCCACCTAAAATGCACATTCATTTTCATTTTTTAAAGCTATGTCTTGCATTCAAAACAGCTTTTTAACCATTAAAATTTAATTGATTTTAATTTAAAAGCCTGCTTTTTATTTGAACAAACACTTTAGTATGCAAACTCTTCAGCCATAATGAACCTATTAAATTTGCCTCAACTGTGAAGCTAGAAACAGAAGAGCTAAAGGAAGTGAGTTATTAATGGATTACGTTTAAGTAGTCCCAAAGTAGATCATGCCTTTGTAATTTTAGTGTAAAGAACAAATTTTCTCAACAATGCTTTTTTCACATGTAAAATTGAAGGGGAGGATGAGACACCACATAAAAGACTACCAAACTCAGTAACACTGTAGGATAAAGATATGCTGCATTATAATGAAGAATGAAAAAAGGAGGAAACTTAAATTTGCTTTCAAGCCTAAATATTACATCCAGTGTGCTTATCTGTATCCCACATGGACATGACTACAGAGAATACTGGGATTAGATGTTATGTGTGTACTGCAGATATAGCTATGCAATGTTCTATTAAATAGTCCAAATGTGGAATGCTAATTTGTATAGTGAATAGTACAATATTTATTTATTATTTATTTATTTATTGCATTTGTTGACCGCCGTTCTCAGCCCTTTCGGGCGACTCACGGCGGTGTACAACATATAAACAGTTTACAGTAAAACCCTCATACAAACAAAATATACACATAACCATCAGTAATACCACAATAATATAATTACTCTAAATCATCCGAGTCGTCTCATCATAGAATCGTAAACCAATCTCGTATTCCGTATTCCGTTCCAGTTATCATTGCCACTTATTATAGCATTTAGTTAAACGCCTGCTCGAATAACCAAGTCTTTAAACCCTTGCGAAATGACATAAGGGAGGGCGCCTGTCTGATGTCCACCGGGAGGGTGCTCCATAGCCGGGGTGCCACCACCGAGAAGGCCCTATCTCTCGTCCCCGCCAAACGTGCCTGTGAGGCAGGCGGGATCGAGAGAAGGGCCTCCCCAGATGATCTCAAGGCCCTCGTGGGCTCATAGGCCGAGATGCGGTCAGAGAGGTATTTTGGGCCGGAACCGTTTAGGGCTTTGTAGGCCAACACCAGCACCTTAAATTGGGCCCGGTAGCAGATCGGCAGCCAGTGGAGTTGGAACAACAAGGGCATTGTGTGCTCCCTGCGTCCCGCTCCTGTTAATAACATGGCTGCCGCGCGCTGGACTAGCTGAAGCTTCCGGGCCGTCTTCAAGGGCAGCCCCACGTAGAGAGCGTTGCAGTAATCCAGGCGGGATGTGACCAGAGCGTGTACCACCGTGGCCAAGTTCAAAGACATAGCTGTGTTAATCTGGATCAGTATGCAAAGGGATCTTGTAGCACCTTAAATTTTGGGTGAATCTACACTATAATGTATTCAGTTTGACCCAACTTTAACTGCCATGACTCAATGCTATGGAATCTCGGGAATTGTTGTTTTACAAGGTATTTAGCCATTACTGCCAGAGTATTGGTGCCTCACTCCCGTGATTCCATAACATGGAGCCATGGTAGTTTATTTCATATACTTGTACCCCACCCTTCTCACTCCTGAGGGGGGACATCAGTTAAAGTGGTGTCAAACTCCATTAATTCTACAGTGTACATTAACCCTAAGAGAAAGAACTTGGGAACATACCGTATATACTCGATTATAAGCTGATCCGAATATTAGCCGAGGGACCTAATTTTACCACAAAAATTGGGGAAAACATATTGACTTGTGTATAAGCCAAGGGTGGGAAATGCAGCAGTTACTGGTAAATCTACATAAATAAAAATGTAATGTTCATTTGTGGGATTAACAGAACTCAAAAATCACTGGACGAATTGACACCAAATTTGGACACAAGACACCTATCAAGTCAATATATGTCCTTCACTCAAAAAAAAATGATTTTGTTATTTGGAGTTGTTGCTGGGATTTATAGTTCACCTCCAATCAGAGAATTCTGAACCCCACCAACGATAGAATTGGGCCAAACCTCCCACACAGAACCCCCATGTGGGCCACAGCAACGCGTGGCAGGGGATGGCTAGTTTCAAAATAAGAACAGATCCCAATAAAATTACATTAATGAGGCATCAGTAGATTAAATGTTTTTGAATATTTCCCTAAAACTGTAATTTAAGATAAGACTGTCCAACTCTGATTAAACCATTATTCTAACCTTCTTCAGTGTAAATGTATTCTTCAAATAATAATGAGAGTAAAATAATAAATGTAACAAAAATAATAATAGAGTATCAATCAAATCAAATCATTTATTTCGGTCATTGACCAGCACCGGAAATGGTCACATTTTCATACAAACTTGGTATGTTTGGTACATTAAAAATATAAATATAACTACTGAAGCACAATATGGGTGAGGGAGCAGAAGGGAAGGGGAAACAGGGTAGAGTAAAATAATGGAAATGTAATAATAACAGTAATAATAGAGTAAATAATAAATGTAATAATTAGAGTAAAATAATGAATGCAGTAAAATAATAATGAAGTAAAATCTCTTTGCATACAGTATCTGCACAGTCAAAAAATAATGATTTTGGTAATACTGTATTATTACTCTGTACCCATTTAAGTAGTTTATATCCTATGTTCTAAAATAGCAGTAGCCTCTTCTGAGAAACCCCAGGCTGCCTTGCCTTCTCCCCAGTACTCTCTACTCTCATTCTATTACTAGTCATCCCAATTTTTCTTTCTGTCGGATTTCTACTTCACCACTTACATGAGATATTATGCCAGGGGGAAATCTGGAGAACAGTGAGGTGATAGATGCTGTTCTCTCACATGGTCTTTACCATGATTAGCTAGTGGAGGAGGTGCAGAGAAGACTCTCCAGTGTCTCATGTTCACCTCTAAACTATTTGCGCATTCCTTATGTTGAACTGTGAAATTTACTTCTACCATTGTTAGCCTGGATGGATTTGAAAGGTAAGTGAACAAATGCGGAGTAATGATACCATCAGCTGCTGGCCATGATGATGATACATTATCAGTACTGGAGACACTATGCTACTGAAAATCACTTCCTAGAGAATACTAATGGGAGGATCTTCATGCTTTGCTTGTGGGCTGGCCACTGCAGTAGGGATGGCAAAACTATTGGAACAATTAAGTATTGGGAAACCGTGATGAAGAGAATATTTATTTAGGCCAGAATACTCTACCAGCTACTTAGTTATATAGCTAAGTCGTGCTTCCCAGCCCAACTTTCCCCACCACACTCCTCATTTAATTGATAGCTGCTGCTGCTGCAAGCAACAGGGATCTGATCCCCTAGTATCCAGGAAGCTGCTGATTGACATTTCCACCTTTCCTGTGAAATGATCTCCATTGGGACAGTTAGGCAGAAGCAGGATCGTTGCCACAATTCTCCCTAGCACTGGAGACATGTTAGGGAGCCATTTCCTGATCAACAAGGAAACAGACCCTTGTTACTAGCAATGACTGCTGCCTGGTAATTGGCAATTGGTTAATTATAACAGTCCCTAGGGATTATCTAAACTAAGAATACAAACCAGGCAAAGATAAAGGCAAAGGTTTTCCCCTGATGATAAATCTAGTCATGTCCGATTCTGGAGGTTGGCGCTCATCTCCATTTCTAAGCTGAAAAGCCAGCATTGTCCGTAGACACCTCCAAGTCATGTGGCCAGCATAATTGCCTTCCTGCTGGAGTGTTACCTATTGATCTACCCTCATTTGTATGTTTTGAACTGCTCGGTTGCCAGAAGCTGGGGCTAACGGAGCTCACCCTGCTCCCCAGATTTGAACTGCTGACCTTTTGGTCAGCAAGTTCAGCAGCTCAGCGGTTTAACCCGCTGTACCACTGTGGGCTCCGCAAACCAGGTATTGCATGCATAACTCGGTGAATTGAAGTCAAAATGTATATCCCACCTTTCCCTTTTTATAGAATCTAAGGTGGATTATGAATAATTAAAAATAGAACTGTAACAAAGTTTTAAAAGATTAGATTTTTTATATAAACTGTAATCTATGGTTAAGAAGATAAAAATACATGCTCATTAGTAGAATATTGGTCTAATGAGAATTTTTGCAGCTTCAGAAATTTTTGTGCAAAATACGCACATGGGCTTAAAAAGCACAGAAAATAGTATTTTAATACAGGAAACAGTATTTTACAAAAAATATTTCTGTACAATATTTCAGTACAAATATTTTATGTGCTGAAAATATTGTCCTCTGCCAAAAAACGATTTCTTTTACAGAATAACTCCTGAACTAGACATTTCAATTACTTCCTCACAGCCAAAAGAACAGTGATAAAATTTCTTGTTGCTTGCTTGAGGAATGATATTAGGGAATTTTAGATCTACTGGGGGAAGAATGCTGGCATTCAGTGGACTCTTCACATTATACTATCCATATAGGATCTCAGATTCTGATCTTCTTTTAACATGCCCAGGAATTCTATTTTTTATTTCTCTTTAGTGCTTTGAGAAGTTATAGTATTAGAGAATATGTGGATCTTGCTGATTTATAATATCAGTTCAGGTGTGCATGCTGGTATTACAATTTGCAGCCTGATATACAAGTATAACAAGAGGACAACAAATGGTAGATATGAGGATAGGAAGAAGTGTATGTAAATCTTAATTGTGAGACTAGGCAACTTGGCCATCTATATAAATTGGGAATTCCTAAGTTCAGATATCCATATGTTTAACATTTTCAGCATATAAAATGAATAGAATTCACAACCGAGATATAGGGTAATGTTTCTGAAATCGTTAAGGATCAGGACTACTTTGTAAACCTGCTGTAGATATTTAGAAAATATCAGTGTCCAGATTTTACCATGGGATTCTATTCATTTTTTATGTATAAATATGTGCAAAGCTTTTCAGACCTACACATCTGTTGGTGTAGGTGAGATTGTGGAAAGGGCAAAGAAATGTGTAAATCAAAGTAACCTTTTCATCATCTAGTTCTTGTCCTTGCAGATTCTTGCTCTGACCTAATTTAACATAGGAACAGAAAATATAAGCATGAACTTAGAAGGTAGCGGGAGATG